AGTAAGAGCAACCTCTTACTATTTATTCTGGTTTCCACAGTGCCAGAATTAATAATCCCTCCGGCAGTGCTGAGGGTCACAGGGCAGAAACGCCTCTGAGTCAGCCCAGGTCTGACAGAGCTTGTGCTGAGATGGAGTTAATAAAATCCTGATGAACCTAAGCTGACCTTGCAAGGTCAGAAGACTTCATACACTGATTCCTAATCCATCCTACAGTGTTCCCATTATCCTTTGATCATCCTGGATGTCCCTGTGCCATACACTCCCCAGTGATGGAGAGCAGACTTCAGAATCACACTGTTCTCCTAAACGAGCACTCAAAACACACACTAGTGAAGAAAGTGGCTGATGTTAGAAAAAGACCTTGGCTGTCCAGAATCCCCACCACTGTTATCTCAGAACTGGCATGGCACTGAGAGTGGCCAATGCAGAAAGTTTAGAACTTTGTGTACAAGCGATAAGGTCCTCCTGACCATTGCACCAAAGCACCGCTGTGTCACGGCCACATCTTGTCATGAAGCTCAGTGTATCAGACATGCCCTGACACAAATCTGCACTGCTTCCGGGAACCTAGGAAAAAAATCTTCAGAAAGTTTGAGAGTTATCACTCTAGTCTGAAAAAGACCCTTTCTTTCAGTTCCCAAGGGTCACATTGTGTAGACCTCTGGCCATCTATTCTGCTCTTCTCTGGATGCTTCCAACAGGCCCACAGAGCACCGCTCAGAGCTGAAACAGTACACCAGCCACACAAATGCCAAGTAGAGTGGAAACATTATTTTGCAGGCAGACTCCTGTCCGTATATTCTCGCATCATATTCATGGCATGGTATTATTGATTCATAGCCATTTCCTGAACTCTTGCAACTGTCCATCTGCTTTCTGCAGACCTGGTGTCTCACCACTTATTCTACATTTTGATTTGCACAGCTGATTATTCCTGCCGAACTACAATTTAGAACTTGTCCTTGATGAACTGCATCATATTTATTTCAGACGAGTTCTCCAATATATCACATTAATTTTGAATTCTAATCCTGTGCTCAGAGGGTTTACATCCTCCCCCTGGTTGGTGTCATCTGGAAATTTTGCATGCAGATTCTATCATCTAAATCATTAATTAAAATATTGAATATTTTCTGGCAATCCAGGGCAGAATCCCACTTGACAGATCCTTCTGGTTTGACTGTGAATCACTAGTAGTTGTTCTGAGAAGAGCTTTTCAGCCAACTGTGTACCTACCTTGTAGCCCATTGTGTCACTTTGTTTATAAGAAGCTGAAAAGACTTCTAAAAATCCAAATATATTATTTCTCTACTTACAGGAAAATGAGGCTCCACTGACAAGGTACCTTCTGGGGGGGGAAAAAAATCCCTGCAAATTCATTTATCATATTATTATCTACAGGCTAATTATTAAAAAATTCAGTTGACTGTTTTGATTCAAACTTTTTTCCCCCAAGAATATAAGATAAACTAGCTACTCCAAAGGGAACAGGGAAGAACCCAGAAAATTTTATATGTAGGTGCAGTATTTTCTCTTTCATAGATTTTGTGAAGCTAAACTGTCCTCCAAATGTTCTCCAGTGTAGCCACTAATTGTTCAGAGACTGCTTCAGCTATTTCACCCAGTGTTGAAGAGATAATTTAATAAACTCCATCTTATTCTAAAACACCCATTATCCTATCTCATTAGCTCATAATCTTAGCTGTTCTTTTCCTGCTCTAGCTGGAATTCTTAACTTTCTCAAGGTCACAGTTCTTTTCCTGACACTTGACTACAGATAACCATTTTAGACAAAGAATGATACAAAAAATTACATTAACTATTCAATCATCTCTGCACCATCAGATCATGGACTTTTTAACTGACATTTTGTAATTCCCTGTCAACTAGTAGCCCAGAAACTCAGTCTTCCTCTTATTGCTACAGAGAATGTAGTATGTTTCTCTATTACCATGCCCTTTATTAGTTGTACCTTGTTCTGTGAACTGGCCTACTTGATTTGACCCTCACATTTTTCTCATCTTCTTTTACACTCATCTCCAGTAATAGATCGAGTTTCCACCTTCTGTATGAGTCCTCAATTATCAGATCATACAATTTTGTCTCTTCTTACCCTTTTTACTGGAATGCCTTTCATTTGGGGTTTTTATACCCTTTATTATGACTGGGAAAAAAAAAGTTATTTCCTTTGAAAATTGCCAGAATTTCTCACATTTGTATCCCAAGAAATGTTACCTATCAGTTCTATGAGCTCAGTGCAATCTACTTTCTTGCATACCATTGTTTTTATTCTCAAATTCTCTCTTCTCACCTTCTGAAGAACGACAGGCTCACTCTTTCCTGATTGCTCAAATTGCATTTTACCATCATAGGCTCAACCATCTCTTTTCTAATCAAGCCTAGGAGCACTTCCCCTCCACTGCTCTTTCTACATTCTATGATCCTGATCCTATTATACTCATGTGATCTACTGAACAGAGTATTTAGCCGGAAAAGTGAAAATATTCTAAACGTTTGCTAATGTTTGGTAATACATGATAAAATGACTGGGTGAGCCCATCTCTTGGGACAAGAGCCATCTGCAAAAAAGGGAATCTTAGGCATCAGTGCCAGTACAATGAGCATACAGACAGGACCAAAATATCTCCTAGCCATACCTGTAAACCTTTCCAGGTCACAGCAATTAGCAAAGTGGAAAAGAGATTTAGGAAATACTCTAACCATGTCTACACAGAGGCACTGTCCTCTCAGGCTTCTTTTGCCAGCACTCTGTTCAGCTGTAAGTTGAAATGATTACTCCAGTAGTTGCAATAGCTGCAATCACTTAGCATGTCTAGATTCAATGTTGACAGCACAGAGCCTTCAGATATCAAAGCTTTTTTGTACAAATTAACTCCCTTCTCATGTGGCCATGCCCCCTCTGCTGCTCGTAGATATTGTTCCCTCCTACAGCTACACTGGCACTCCAACAAAACAAAAGGAGCACTACAGCAAGGATCAGAGTGACCATATGCACCTGCCATTACATTTTTATTGCAACTCTTAAATTAGCCTAACACAGTCCAGTGGATTTCTCTGAGAAATACGTACCTACCTGATGTTTATTATTGCTGAGTACATCATATAAATCTAACAAGAAAAAAGAAAGATCTCCAAAAAGCAAATACAGATATTAGTTTGATACAACTTGGAAGTTTTCTTCTCATACAAAGAAAATATAATTCAGCCTGTTTCTTTAACAAGTCTCCTGAACGTATGGTGCATGTTAATGTTTAATAATTCTTCAGTACAGCTGCCAAGTTTTGAATATGTTTATTAACATCTTTACTTAAGGGCAATTCCAAATGAATGTAAGAATTTCTTACAGGAGACCAAGCAACCTTCATGCCATTAAGTAAGTCTCCAGAATAAGTCTGAATCTGCTGGGTTGCCACCACAGTCTGACTGCTGTCCTGGGCTTCCAGGGACCTCTGTTTCATCTCTCTGAATTTTATGCAGCTCTGCTTGCCAGGTCTTTTACATCCAGGAGCAGTCATGAGGTTACCAGCTTTCCAACACAGCCCTGCCCAAGCACCCTGGTCACAGTGCCAACTTCTGGGAGCTAGGGGATAGCAGACAGAGTGGCAGAAAAGTGTAAAACTGGATAGAAAATAATACAGTAATGCAAGGGTGTTAGAAGTAATAGGGTTTCTAGCAAAGGACAGAGCCAGGTTAAGGAAGAGAGCAGATATCCTCACAGTTGGGAATTTTGGTGGAAAGCAGAAGAGTGACAAAAACTCCTAGGAAAGAGCTGAGGACTGGCAGAGGACAAACAGGACAAGAACAGCAGAGGGGAGTTTTAGGAGTGTGCTACTGGCTAGACAGAGGCAGGAGAGCCCTGCGGCTGTCCCAGACTTCACATCTCTCATCAGCACTGGAGCACATGTGGAGGAGAGCTTCCTGTTTCCTCTCCTCCAGGACACGACTCACCGACACGCACAGAAACCAGGCTGTAAATCAAAGCAAGGCAGCAGAGATAGTTCAGAGCTGCTCCACCACTCCAAACTGCTGTGCTGGTGCAGCTGGACACAGAATCACATCCTGCTGCAGCCAGAATTCCTTCTAAAGGCAAATATTTTATATTAGAAAAATAAATGTCTTGCACATCACTAGTTTACCCTGTGGTACTAATCCATTATCTACACCTACTAAAACAAGAGCAATATCTAGCTGATTTTCTATGCTTTTTTTTTTGCTGCATCTCAACTGGCTGGCAGACATGGAAACAAAGCAACAGGATCTGCTCGTCCTCTTTTCCTCCTCCCGCCTCACAAATCTGAAACCATCCCATACAGGGAAAGCACTATATGAACTCCAGCAGACTTTACACTAGAGGGAGCTTTTCTCAGAAAGTCACACCACCGTGGCATCCTTTTTCTCATTACATTATTTTCACTCCATCTACAGAGAAATACACCAGACTGAGGTGAAACAGTTACCATTTAAACTCTCCAGTTTAGCCAGTTCAAGCATTGCAGCAGGTCAGTGATGTGGAGGGGGGAGTACAAAGAGAGGGCACCTGGCAAGTTCTGCCCAGAGATGCACTCTGACAGACAAGATAAGGCTCAACACTTGACATGTTGCTGAGAAGCCTCCTGACATGAACCATATCCATCCTGCAGCCTCACCAAATTCCTGTGTTGAGCACACGAGCAACTTTACAGACTACATTTTATACTGACCCAAGAGACCACTCATGGTTAAGTTGTTAACGAGTATTTTAACGAGGAAAGCTGAGATAAACCTTCCCCAAGGCTCGTGGCCATCCCTTACTGAAGGCTGAAACATGGATAACTGTGTTCGTCACTGCTAATGCAAGTTATTCAAGGGAATTGTTTTAAAATACTATTTAAACTGAAAGTACTTCTAGATGCTAATGACAGTCAGGACCTACTCATTTTCTAAACTCCAGTAAATTGTCCCAAGAATATGAGCAGAACGAGAACAGAAATCCTTACCTGTGAAAGCATTTGTGGCCTGAAAACCAGCTTCCTGCATACTGCTCTTCCAGAGAAGCTTGAGATTCCCGTCTCAACCTGTCCTTACTGGAGACAACTGCTGAGCTTGCTGCTGTCAAGTCACTTCCATCTTAGCTCATCAGAGTCCATTTCTCTTTCCATTCCTGTATTTGGCACCATCCAGTTCCCACCTGTTCCCAAGTCTTTCGATGTGTAAGCAGAAGCGATTTGCACTGAACCTAAGCAGAAGTGTTGGACAGTCCCATCAACCAGCCAGCCAGAGGATTTGTGCCATGATGAATGTGAAAATGAAGCAAATCACCTGTCCAGACTTCCCTTCCCTTTTACAATTAAGTTCTAATCCTGTGTTCATCCAGCACCATTTTTTTCAGGTCTCGGCCAATGGTGATGCTCAATTGTCTCTCCTCTCTTGTGTTCCTCTCCCCTCAGGCACGCTCACTGAGAAATTAAAAAAGAAGAGATTATGTTTCCTGATGACCTGTAGCAACACTAAAATTAACAGACTCCAGGGAACAAAAACCCAAAATACATTATCAGGGATTGATTGTACACATTAAAGGAGATCTTCAGAAGGCAAATCTTGCGATTTTGCTGAGATGCAAAGTGTGACCACACAGCTCTTTGAAGTGCAAAGAGGAACAGTGCTGAGGGTGTCATATGCATCTCTGAGAACATGATATGATTTACATTTCAAAAGCCATATTTAGCAGAGATGGGGGCAGCAATACAATAACAAAATTGCAGTTAAAAGAGAAAAGGAAAAATACTCAAGGCTCTCAAGTCTGGTCTATTCAAAACCACAGTGAAATTATTAGCATTTCATATAGCTGCTTCCCTCCTTTTCTGGAGCAGGAAAAGAGCAAGCTGTGTGCCAACATTATATATGCCATTCTTACAGTCTTCTGTGGTTAAAAACCTGTGCATTTCTTCTTGTTGATTACCAAACTTTGTATGTCTTGCTGTCGATTATCTTTTAAAAATCTCAATTGTAACACAGATGACACAATTCAGATACCTTCAGACATTCAGTGAGGTTAAGAACAACCACAAGCTACACAGCAGAAAGATGGTTACATTTTTCTTGATACTGCTACTCCTATACAGCATGGATATTTGCATCTCATTGAAAACTACAGTTTGTTCCATGTCCAGCTTTTAAAAACTAGAATACAATTACTTTAATGGGGTGAAGGCGAACAGCAGACAGGCATGTGTTTAAGGAGAAGATTATTTTAGAAATCAAGGAAGAAAGAAAAGAGGACTTGGAGGAGAACCCACTCACTCCCCAGCCATCCTGTTCCCCATGTAATGATGCTTGGCTCACTATCTCCCAGCTCAGTGGCACAGGCAGGTTGAAAATATGTCTGTGATGATCTTATGACTTACTAATGGATTTTAGGTGATGAGTCTAGCCAGGGTTTGCAGTACTAGATTGGACCCAAGGTTCAATGGGCTGGAGCAGCCCATGTCAGAGTATGGCAATCCCAGCAGCCGCTGCTTTTCAGAACAGTGCAAGAGCCAGCTAAGAGAGCAAATGGAAATAACGCACTGCTCGCTCCCCAGCCCTGCTTCACCCTTCACCCTGACCTGCAAGGTCTAGAGATGAGCTCATATCTGAAGCACAAGTCTGAATACCCCAGAGATGCAAAGATTCTCATGCCCCTTCAGGTACAGTCAGCCAGGCCTTGAGGGCTTCATTTGGGACCCACGTTGGGTGAGGGACAAAAAGGATCTCTGCTCAAGTGTGCCACTGAAACCAAGTGAGCCTGACACCTGATGAATGTCATTTCCCTTGCAACACAGTGAATGAAAGCTAGCTGCTAGCAAAGATGAATCTTAATGGTATTGCTTTTTTCCCCCTGATTTTGTTATGCCTCTATTACTGAAAAACACATGTTTTTGTCTCAACACACAGCACAGGAATGACTGATTAGTTACTTGTATTCAAATCTAGTCATTTGCATTCAGATCAAATAAGGTTACAGAAAAAATTTAAAATGTTTTCCCCATTTCTTACCCAAACATCTCAACCTAATAGAGAAGAAAGTGGAAATTAAAAGGAAGAAAGAAAAAAAAAATTATGTGTAGTATCTTTTATCAGAAAACACTGCATAAAAAAATTTAGAATAGTGTTTAAAAAGCCATTATTCCTGAATATTATATAGGTCCTTGAGATACTTTTTCAACCCTTTGAAGTGTTCTATGCAACTAATAACAATTTCATATGAGGCTATTTTATTCTAAAATATATACAGCTAAGCAAGTATAATATACATACACAGCAGCATACAGTTCTTTTGGGTCTTAACATTGTGCTAATTATTCTATAATGACTATAGGTGGATGCTGCACTCATTTCCCAAGATTTTTCTCCAGAGGCCTGAGTTTCCTCTATATTTATAAGAGGAGGTCCACATTTGCATTTACATTTTCAGTCTTATAACTTTTGATTTTGGTTTATAAATCCAAAATTTTGATGCTTCTGTTTTCGATATTTTCATTTCACATCTTAGAGATGCTCAAGAGATGTGCAGTAATATGTTAGCATCCAGGGAAATTCTCCTATTTTTATTTCTATATATTAGATATAACAAACTCCTAATTCTTAAAAGAATGAAGTATTTTCACTTTACTGAAAATTAATATTTTATTAAAATAATAATTATTCTCCACATTTTCAACAGTTCTGCTGAACTAGTTAAGAACCCAGTAGTGCTGAAGAAATGCGACAACACAGGCACTTTCAGTAACCACTGCTTCTTCAGATAGAAAGATGTCATTTTAACAACATTACAAGACACTGAAACATTCAGAGAGTTAATTCAGACCTTAATATTTAAAGGATAGTGCACTGCATCGGGTTTAAGTTCTTCCTTAAGGACTCATACAAAAGTAGATGCTGGTATCTCTTGATTGCTCTAAGTGAGTGTTTTCTGTCACTGCAAAAATGCTCTTCTCCCATGCCAGATAATCGACTCAGAGGTGGCTGGCAGGAGGGAAGGAACTGGAGCAGGCTCTGGGGGCAAGCCTGTGCAGTGCTCAGCACTTACTGGGCCTTGTCACAATTCAAAACCAAGTTCAGTACTTATAAAATGCTTCTCCCTTACAGCTGCCTAGGCTATTTGATGATCCTTTTCATTAGCAGACTTTAATCAGTCACATTTGTATGATTTCAGGTTTCTCAGATTACAAATGCATCCAGGTAAAGATGATAAAGCAGCCCAATAATATCACAGCAAATAACTAACACTTCCTTTATAAATTCCACTTAAAACAGCATGTAGATCTACAACCTTTCTATTGTATTTCACAGCCAGAGATTTTCCACTAAAGCTGAGCTTATGTTTAAAGGAAGGAGGTTTGTGTTTGTTTCCCAACACACTGGCATGTTTGCATGCATGGAAAGGGTCAGGACCTCTGCTGACACACTGCAGTATGCCTCAGCCAATTCCAGTGAAGCCATGTGTTTATCCTTTTGTACCAGCATGGTGCAGAAATGCTGAACCAACCTGCTTAAGTGCCCAAAAAGTGAAAATACATATCAAAAAAAAGAAAAAGAGAGAATAAGCAATACTGATAGAATTATAATAGGGTGTGATCTTTGATGTAATTTTTTTCACAGCCTGCAGAGATCCCAATGGGAACTGATTAGATGGCAAGAGAAAATATGGACTAGAAAGACTAAAGATTTTCTCTTTGCTCCATCTGTTGTCTCCTTTCCAATAGCAACAAGAACTCCACTTCCACTACTGCTTTCATTCATCCAGTGCAGTGCTATGAGTCTCAGAAGCAAACCACAGCAAGTCATTGTGCTGTATAAATATGTAGCTGTGCTATAAGGATTTTTGGCTGCTATGCATTTACATAGTGGAGTATCTAGAAGAAAAATCAAATCCATTTGTTTTCATCCTCTTCACTTTTTTCAGATTTGGTCCTGAGAAAGACACCACCATCTGAACCTCAGATGAATTGCAAACAGAAAGTATTTTAACTATTTAACGCCTTATGTGACTTACACGTTCTCACGGTATATTTAGCTAGTAAACCTGTTATTTCCCTTTTCTAAACATTCAAAGATGCAAAAGGGTCATAGGTAAAAAAGGAATCTGAGGGAGAAAAGTAAGCAAAGAAAATAATTAAATCTGCATTAGAATCTACATTTTATGAAGTATTATGCAGCCAGGACAAGACTGAAGGAACTTGCTCTGAAAGAAGAAGTGAAATACTACTTTTTCCAAGACTGATATTTCTGTAACATCTTGAAAAACTCAAAAAGCACTGGCTGACATTTAAATGCTGGAAATTGCTTTTTTTTGTTTGGAGAGGGGATTTTTTCCATTTCCTTTCACTATATAAAGTCTACTTCTCTGGCCCATGCTTTGGATCCCACACGGGCTTTAGGAACTCACTCAATGTGTTGCCAGAAGTGCTACAGCCATGGGAAGCATTTCCTGTGATAGCCCTCAGCATCCTTTGGAATGCTAAAGAACAGCATTTCACTAAGGTGTATAACACATCTCCCAACAGGAATATCTGTACAGGAAGCCCACGCATTCACATTTTTAAGAAAGTTACTGAGCAGCTTGTGAGCTGTGCTTTAAATTAAATTAATCAAGGAAGGACTCATGCTTGGATTTCTTGCTTTCAGGTGAACAAGTGTAAAAGGGCGGAGAGCTGGAGCTCCCCTGCCCTGCTCCCACTGCGGTCCCTGCAGAAGGCGGGTGCCAAGAGGAGCAGAGCCCAGCGGGAGCGCGGATGCTGCCAGCACCGACCCGCTCCATGGATGAAAGGAGGACAGGAGCACGGCGGGCTGAGCTGGCAGCATGACTCCAGCTCAACGGGAGATTCGAGCACATCTCCAAGGAAAAAAATCTTCTGACTGAAACCCACACAAGTACTAACTATCCACACACTTAAACACTTTGCTGAAGTAAGGCCTATACTTCCCATAGGTTAAGGCAGCATAGACTTGGATATTTCTCCAAGAAGTTTCTGGCTAGAAAAACACTTCCAACATTTTGTTCTTATTGAACTGGGTTTGTCAAAATATCTTTTAAGGTTTGCTAAAGCCACTGAAAATTAAGCTCTTGTACACACATATAGTTCACCTCTCCAGCTCCTTTTGTATTTACAAAGTTTTCCAGGCTGTGGTTTTGCTTCTCATAGAGATTCTAAACTAATTATACCTAATCTTTTCCAGTGGTAAGCCCTGCATTTT